ATGAGGATATCAAATCTCTGTGTTACTTAAGTTCATTCAGATACTCTTAAAAGGCTGAGGTTGCAGTTTTACTCTTTATATGTCAGAAATTACATTATTTGGAACTACTTAAATTCATGATTAAAAAATGTTGGCTTTTAAAATGTGCAAAGGTATACAAATTTGCTCAACATTCCTCTAGAGAATACGGGACCTAAAAAGTTTGAAGACCACTGTCACAGGAGATGAAAAATCTCAGGATCATTTACAGTGAAAAGAAGGTCAGTCATTTCAAACTGAAAAGCATTAAGATTTAGGATGTTCATTACTTTGTATAAGATGGAGGATAAAATGATTTGTTCAAGCTCATGATAGACTACAGTAATGAGTGACTCACTGATTTAATGAACAAGTATTTTCTATTTTTGATAAAAAGAAAACAACAAATGAAAGCTGCAATGTCAGTTGCATATAACAATGGGATTAACATTGGAATGGGATTCTCATCTGTGTCTTACTCTTTAATCTTTAACTATTTTAAAGTTTAGGACTACCCATATATGGAAGAGAGACAGCACAGCCTTAATAATGCTTTTTATCTTACAATTCTCTGACTAAAAATAAGATAGATCAAATAAACCTCAATAAGGAACAGTCAAATAAAACCAAAATTAAACAATTCACAATAAAAAGCTACATGTCAATTTCGTTCCTAGCAAAGAATATCACAACCAGCAAATGTTAAGAACTTGAGTATTACTTAGGTAAAGTGGAAGCAAGGTTGCTGAATGTCTATAAACACCTAAATGTGATTTTAAAATGGAAAATACTGTAACACAAGAATATAGTCACCATGTGAATATCTGCAGAAAGATTACCCATATACCTTGACAGCCAACCCCAACTGCCACGCTCCTCCCTGTCTGGCACCCTGGATAAGTGGTTCTGATCCATTAAGAACAACAGTGGCAGGAGACACACACCTATTCCCCTTCCTTTTCTCTTATTTATTGGGTTGTCAGAAAAGCCATGACATATTTTTTCTATGTTTTTCACTGCAAAAATGCGTCATGATTTTTCTGATAACCCAATGGATCATATGGTCGGAATCTCAACCAAAAATGACAGATATGGTGAGAAAGTGATGAAAATCTCAGTCAAGAGGGCTCCTACTGGAAGAATTGTTCACTCATTCAGGGAATAAATGGGTATTTTGGCCTAAGAAAACAGGCGATGAGAGCTCCGTACTAGGATACTATTTCAATAAGTACTTTTTATGGCAGATCTCAGCACTGCAAAATAGCAAATGGCTTCCTCCCCAAAGTGGCACCACTCCAACTTCAGGGATGTGGGAAAGATACTTAATAGGGAGGAGCAGACAGGGTTCTTGGAGCAGTTTCCTTGCTATACAGGTCTGACAATTAAGTTTGCGAACTTATTGCAACAATGTTGCTAACCTTTTTTGATATCACAGGGATTATTCATTATGAATTTGTACCAACTGGACAAACAGTTAACCAAGTTTACTATTTGGAAGTATTGAAAAGGCTGCATGAAAACGTTACATGACCTGAACTTTTCGCCAACAATGCACGACTCTTACATCACGACAATGCACCAGCTCACACGGCACTGTCTGTGAGGGAGTTTTTAGCCAGTAAACAAATAACTGTGTTGGAACAACCTCCCTACTCACCTGATCTGGCCCCCAACAACTTCTTTCTTTACCCAAAGATAAAGCAAGACATTTTGATGACATTCAGGACATCAAGGTAATATGGCAGCTCTGATGGCCATTCCGGAAAAAGAGTTCCAAAATTGCTTTGAAGGGTGTACTGCTAGGTGCTGGCATCAGTGCATAGCTTCCCAAGGGGGGTACTTCGAAGGTGACCATAGTGATATTCAGCAATGAGGCATGCAGCACTTTTTCTAGGATGAGTTCGCAAACTTAATTGTCAGACCTCATAGTTATTTTGTAAAAAATAAATTTCCTTACCCAGAGGAAAGGACTGCAAATCTTACTAAATAAAATCTACTATTCATCATTTGTAACTTAATACTCACCATCGTCTCCCCTCCCTAATCAATTAACCTGGTAATTGAAAATTAAATATTTGCCTTCAAACAGTACTGAAAACATGAATTATGAAAATTATCCCTGGAGCAAAAACATTTAAGAAAAAAAAAAATCAAACACTGCTAATAAAAGATGTTCAGAGATTTTTATGTGTTTAAGAAATTCAAATATCCTTGATTGTCCATAACAATCTTGGGCCATAGTAATTTATCACACATATTTCCGGTAAAAAAAAAAAATTTATATTTTAAAAGGGCACTCACAACTTAAAGGTTTTACCTAGATCTTCCTCAATCCCTAGTTGTAATTTCTTCCCTTCCATCTTTTCTATGTCTTCATCATTGAACTTGTACCATTCACCGGACTGTGGATCTTTCACGTGGGCAATGTAGTGGCCAGAATAAGCGCTCACGCCTCTGTGTATGAGGACCGCACTCAGTTCATACACATAGGACCCACCTGGAGAAGGAAAGGGAGACAGTGAAAGAAATTCTGGATAACAATATTTCTTCTTGTATCTTGAGCCTGAGTTGTAATGAACACAATTCTTTATACATCTGACAGAATTCAAAACATGCCACCTAAGGTTAAAAAAAGAAGAAAATATGACTGTAGTGGACCTGTCGTAAGCAGCTCACTGTATCAGCTCTGTGACATACACAGATGGAAAGCTGTGGCATTCTGGCCATTCAGGGCTACAGAGCTACTCCGCCCTCCTTCTCTGCCCTTCTGCATAAACTGGCTGGGCCATATACTTACCAAAAATCTGTCCATATTCTCCAACTTCTTATAAAACATTAATGACACAAACTAATGAGATTTGAGTGCAAAACGAAAAAACTGTAGAAAACAGGAGAAAAATGTTTTAGAAAAAACTGAAGGTAAGTCATTAAGAAAATGTGCCTTCAAAATAGGTATAGGCAAGACGATTGGAAACGACAAAAAAGAAAACATTAAAAATCTAGAATGATTCGGCACTCAGATCTCGTCATAGTATTTTAAGTTGCTATTCCACTTCAAATAAACAAAACCTACAAATCACAGCCTGTGTATTATTTAAGTGCTTTATCCAAAAGAAGGCTTCATCTATACATCAAAATATCTGCAAATGAACACTTACATTTAAAAAAACAAAAAACAAACATACAAAAAAAAAACATTTACATTTTAAGGTAAAACAAAATATTTTAAAGTTTGAAAAAAACCTTTTAATGATTCTAAACTTAAACCAATCAAGGAAATTATATACATGTTGGGAAAGATCACATCTACACGTCTTATCAAAAAATTAGAAAACAAATAAAAAATGCGTTAGCAATTCCACAACAGACATAACCATCATTAAGACTGAACCTTGCAATATTTTTCTAACAAATATATCAACATCTTTCCACATCATTAACGCTTCTTCTAAAAATTATTTATAATGACTATGTACAAGTCATTATATCACAATATATTGGACCACTCCAGTATGGTCGAACATTTAAACTGGCAACATTTGGAGGCCATTATAAACAACAATATTCTCTTTGTAGTTAAAATCTTTGCACATATTTTGGACGATTTCATCACTATAATTTCCTAATAACTGCAAGCAGTGAGTCACAAGGTAGAGCCAATCAGTCACTCGTTCAACAAATAATAAACATGCTGGACACTGTTTTAAGAATGGAAGATATAAGATTGAAAGGACAAAGTCCCTGCATTCCTGTAGCTCAGTAGGGGGGACAGATTATACCTGGACCAAAACCCACCTAAGCACTGCAGCTGAAAATAATTTAAATTATTAGGTAAGATAAAAATATTTTCAAATATTATTAAATGTACTGATTAGCTCACCTACAACAGGAGTTCTTAATAGTATTTCCTAAATTACTAATGACAATAAACCATAGAAGTATTAGCAGTAACTATGACTCTATTACCAAGAAACACCACAAAAAATTTCCTATCACGTTACCGCTGTTGCAGGTAACCAGATTTTACTCTTCAACTTAAGAATGATGGTAGTTTT